CTATCACAAATGACTATGAAAAAGAGCATTTCCCGAGAGAATGGAATGGGACACAAATAAAAGCAAAGGTATGGGTGTTGCAGAACCATATACAAATGTGTTATTAAAACTACTATTACAGGAATGGAAAGTATGAGCTTATGAGTAGCAAAATAGGAGACACAAGCAATGATTTGAGTGCCTATTATCCAATTACTTGGACAAACCTACCATAAGAGTATTCCAGATGGAGATAATCTGAACATTCCAAATATGGCATTGATTAAATATATAATGAAATATTAAGTATGACAAAAAGTGATGCTAGAGGGCTGGGGATTTAGCTCAGTGGTGCCATCACTTGCATTGCAAGCACAAGGTCCCGAGTTCGGTCCCCGGCACCAAAAAAAAAAGTCATGCTAGAGATTATGTAGTATCAAAGAGAAGGACAAAGAAGAACAGTGCTATGGTTTGGATGGGTATCACTAAAACCATAGTCTTGGTCCCCAGAGTGGCAAGGTAGGAGGAGATGAAACTTTTGGGAGCTGGGGTCTTATGGGAGGTGCATGGGGCATTGGGGTATGCTTTAAGAGCCTCTCTCTCTCCTCCTCCTCCTGCCTCTCTTTCCCTTCCTCCCTCCTTCCCTCTCTTCCTCTCTCCTTCTCTCTCCCTTTCTTTTCTTTCTCCTTCCTGACTGAAGATGTGACCACTTGCTCCAGCATGTGCTCTTACCATTGTCATCTGCCACCCTCATCAAAGCCACAATGAGTGAGGCCCCTTAATCTTAGATCTGAAGCTCCAAACTGTTAGTCAAATGAAACTTTTCCCTTTATAAGTCAATTGCTTCAGATATTTCTTTATAGTAATGTGAAAGTGACTCATCCAGAGGGAGAAGAGGAAGAGGAAAGAAGGAAGGAAGGCAGGCAGGCAGGCCGGAAGAAAGGAAGGAAGATGGGAGGGAGGAGGGAAGGAAGGAAAGAAGGAAGGAATAAAGAAGTAAAAAAAAAAAAAAAAACAAAGCAGACACCTGACTTATATGCTTGCCATGGTCTTCCAGAAATCCAAATGCACTTGGATATCGCTGAAATGGGCCTCACTGTGGGCCTTCAGTGTTTCTTCTAAAAGACATTGCTACAGGATGAGCCCACAGCCAGGCCTTCATTTTCCCTTGCCAATAGAAGTTCAGTTTTGATTGGGGCAGGAAGATGTCTAACCTAGAAAAGTGAAAGCAAGCCCATGCTCGATGTTCACTTTCACAGCCTCTCTGAATGATCTAGTGACCAAATTCTGGCTCATGACCTGGAGATAAGACAGTACATTATGGCAAATATTTTTTTCTTTTGTGAAAAAATATTAGAAACTCCATTTTCTACTGGGATTCTTTTCTTCTTGTCTTGAGTATGGTTTATAAAGATATGATATTTTTGGAAAGACGAGGATTACTTTGTAACTATGCAGTGATGATTTTATTTAGAACCCAGCACTTGGCAGAATGCAGGGATATGAAAGAAATAGAAGTCATAGTCCTCAAGCCCAAAGAGCCTACAACAGAGAGAATTAACTTGAGAACAACTGCAGTGCAACTTACAGTATAAAGCTACAATTCAATGCCAAATAATTTAGACCCAAGGATAGCCCTCCAGGATCCAGTATTAGTAACTCTATTCTGCCAGTCCTTGCCAATCCAGATAAACTGAAGAAGTTTTCAGGGAAGACTGACATTTAGAGAGATTCTGCTCTCAAATTCTTATGTATTTTAAATATATTGCTGCCTCTATTTAAATACCAATAATGACTTTCACTTGGACAAAAACACAGTATCAAAAGAGAATTGAACTGGACACTGGGTTTTAGTCTCAGTAAAGCCAATTAATAGCTGTGGGACATTGTAAATGTCACTTAACCTTTTGGGATTTTAGCTTCCTTATTTGTAAATTCAGAATAATGACTCAACAAATATTTACTAAGCACTTACTAAGTTTTGGACATTGTTTTAGGTAATAAGTATATACCAATAAATAAAAGAAAGAAAGTTCCTGGCCTCATAGAATGTAGACATTTGACAAATAAATATGTACTATATCAAGGTGTAGTAATAAGTTTGAACAAAAAAAGTGGGGTAAGAAAGAAACAAACTATAACAGTACATTAATAAAGAAAGAATGTCAATAAATGAGGAGTGGATGAGTAATTTATATATGCTAATGGTCAAGAAAGACTCTTTGATAAGAGGCCTATATTTCCTTCCTTATGTGGTATATGGTGCCAGTGGGCACATGCGCATGTTTGTGTGTGTGTGTGTGTGTGTGTGTGTGTGTGTGTGTAGAAAGTTCCATCTGCACCACTCTGCTCATTGGAGAAAGAAGGGAAGAAGTCAAATGACTGAAAAATACAAATGGTACTTGGTAAATTACTCGGCACCGACTTTATCATAGTTGTCAGTGTGGATCAAGTCTAAACTCCTTGGCTTGCCATTTAAGATCCTTACAATACAACCTTCCAGCCCACTTTTCCAGTTTTATCTCCATTCATATGTATAAATCTAACTTCCAAATAAAATTTTCACTTAATCATTCCCTTGGCTATTATTACATACCACCTCAAGTCACTTCGATAGTTTCTTTTGTCTAAACCCTTCAGGATTTCATTTTTTATAAATTCTATGTCCCTAGTGAAATCACAAACTTTTGTATGACATCTTTCTATAAACTGCCTCGACCATAAAATGTGTTCAATATTTACTGATTGAGTTTGACTCTGTGGAGATGGGACTGGGGTCTGAAGATGGGGGAAATGGGAGGGAAGGAAGGGGAAGGAGAAGTAAAATGGATCAAGATGTGATATGTACCAAAATCCCACAATTAATTTATTTATTATGTAGACCAAACATATACTACTAAAAAGAGACAAGAAAAATAATGACTTTGCCCCTCAGGACTCCACAGCACAACCCTAGCAAGGCGCTTTGATTTCAATCCCAAAAGATCCCTTTTCTAACTTCCTCTTTTCAGAATTGTAAGATCGTGAATTTGCATTGCGTTTAGTTTGTGGTAGATTCTTACAGCAAACCACGGCAGTTTGAGGTAGTTGTGGTGGTTAGTTACTCTCAGATTAGAATCTGTCTCCAACTAACCCCTACCACATGTATACTAATTGAATAGTTTCAGGAAAATCATTACTTCAGTTTCCTCTCCTGTAATGTGAAATCATATCTGCCTTTCCAGTGTTGTTATAGGACAGATAAAATTCTTCATGTGAAAACTACAATGGTTAGGTGTAGAATTTTGGCTTTCATTTTTCTCAATGAGGCAAAGGCATGGAATAGAAGCGTCTGTCCTTAGCAGTCTGATACTGTAAATATTACACCAATATCACTCCTGTAATAAAGATACTGTATTAAAAGTGGCCTGGTACAAGAAAGACCCCTGCCCCAGGTGAAACCAGTATAGTAAACAGAACTGCAGCATTCGTTGTGGGTTTGCTGGTTTAAGGTATTTTTTAAATTTTATTTTTCTGGTGCTGGGGATGGAACCCAGGACCTCCCACATACTAAGCAGGCCCTCTACCCCTGTTATACCCCCAATCAGCCCTTAGAATGTTCTTTGTTCGTGAGCAGAGACACAGCTCACCGATCCTTCCAAACCAACCTTCAGGAAGTCGCTGTCAGTCAACTAGAGCTAACATAAAAGAAACTTATTTAAAATCCCTGCCCTGCCAGGCATGGTGGGGCAGGTCTGTAATGCCAGCACTCAAAGGCTGAAGCAGGAAGATTGCTTGAATTTGAGGCCAGCCTGCGCTACATAGTGAGTTCAAGACTACCCTGTACTACATAGGGAGAACCTGTCTCAAAAAAAAAAAAAAAAAAATCCCTGATCTAATGACCTAGAATGTTTGGTGTCTTGGCCAGCAGTTGGGCATCCTCTGGGAGCAGGTTAGAAATGTAGGTCCCTTTCCAGACATACTGAATCACAATCAGCACTTCAGTGGGATCCCCAGGTGAGCCCTGATTACTACTAGTTGAAAAGAAAGGTATACTGCACTTTATTTTTGTCTTTGTCTTTTGTTTTTGAGATGGGGTGTCCAGATTGACCTTGAATTCTCTATGTAGCCTAGGCAGTCCTCGAACTCAAGGGAGTACTCCTGCCTCAGCCTCCCAAATGCTGAAGATTACAGACATGCACCATCATGCCTGTCAGAAGGATATATTTTGGAGTGGTTTGAAGGCCAGCTATGCTTGTTATTACCTTCATCTCAAGCACAGTGTCTAAACCATCTAAGCCTCAGTTTCTTCTAAGTGAGGAGTAATAACCACCTCAGTCGGGTGGCTGTGAGAATTAGCTGCATAGAAGGCATTTTGCACAATCCCTGCCAACAAACACTTAGCTAGTAACAGTTCTCTGTATTGTGTAGATTTGCACCATGTAGGACTGCTCGCCACACTACATATCCATTCCGCGTAGCTGAGGCCGCTAAGAGGGCCAAGTTCCAGAGCCATCCACGCCCACGAAGGTGGGGTGCAGGGGAAGGACTAGGACACGGGGTCAGTAATCCCATCTCCATATCCCTAGGATAGCTGCATTTTACAGCGCACGTTGGACGCCGGGTGGTCTCCTTGCTTTCAGATCCTCACTGCACGTGGCTCAGTTGGAAACCTCTTCCTGGAGTCTAGACTCAACCAAGGAGTCCGGTGACCTGCGGGATGGAGCAAGGGCCAGAATTCCTGCTGAATCGCTCTGGGTCCCCAGCCCTCTTCCTCGATCCCCTTCTTAACGTTCCCTCTGCGCCTGTCTCCTCGCAGCAAAAGGTAGCCCTGCAACCTTGTCGGCTCGCCCGCCAGTACGGATCAGCCCTGGACTCGGCCCAGTCCCTCGGGACCCGCGGCAGGGGCGGAGCTGGGGGCGGAGCTCGGGTCCCGCGGCCGCCACCGCCCGCCTAGCTGCAGCCCCGCTCGGGCGCCTGGGGACAGCTCGGGCCGAGGGTCGCGCCCGGGCCTGCGGTGCTCGGGGGGCGCACACCTCCCCACGGCGCGGCCGGGCGGCTGCTGCAACACGCTGGGGGCGGCCCCGGTCTCCGCCCCGCTCGGCGCGCCGCCTCGGCTCTTCGCGTAGTAATTTCAGTTCCTGATCGCGTCGCGCTGACTCCGGGACCCGGGCGAACGAGACCGCAGCTCGCGGGCCCGTAGTCCTCGGTGTGGCGCGGAGAGCACGGGATATGCGACGGGCACCCCAGCCTGAGCCTCGGGGACAGCAGGGCCGCAGCAGGTAGGCGACCCCCTCTGGCGGCGAGCCTGGGGGCCCGAGCCTCGCCGGGTGTCCGTACGGGTGGGAGGGGCTCGGTCCCACGTTCTGCTGGGGATCCTGTGCCTGTTGCTCTGTCCCCATCCCGTCCTAGGCTGCAGGAGGGGCATCTGCTCGCAGGTGATGAATTTCTCTGCAAGGTCATCACTCCCTTAAGCTCTGCCTATGAAGGTAAATGGGAAGCCGCCTGGTGCTCTTGAGTGTGGTCTGCACCTTGCGAGTATTCGGAGAGGGTGTGTGTGTGTGTGTGTGTGTGTGTGTGTGTGTGTGTGTGGCATTCTCATTTTCCTCTGCTTATTCCCCTTAACGTCAAAACACGAGTCATATATAATACATATGCATTTACATATGTGTGTATATATTTGCATGTAGTTTTTGTTGAGGTAGGTGAGGAAAGAATGGGAGGGCAGGCCGGGGTCGATAAAGGGAAATCATTGTAAAGACCTGTTCTGTATTTAGAGGTGAACTTTGGAACCACATTAGATCAAGGCAGAGACAAGAGGTGATAAACAGATCTTAGAGGTGGGTTTTAGAAAAGATCTGAGTAGAATCGTCAACCAGTACACACAGCAGATCTTCATGCCGTCAGGAAGATAGAAGAGATGTAGACAGAATTTCAGACACAACAATGGACAGTGCAAGAGGGAAGAAGGAGGGGTACTTAACTAGACCCTGAAAGTGAATATGGAGTGGCAGGAAGACAGCAAATGCAGGTCAGGTTTCAAGGGCTTTCTGGAGGGGTATTGGAGAAATCTCTGCTTAGGATGTAGTCAATTCAAGGTTAAGATGCTGTGAATCTCCAGAAAGCAGCAGAGGAGGAAGAAAAAGGCAAGGGCTTGGAGAAGGACGGAGAAGCTAAGCTCTGAATAGCTAAGCTCTGAATAGCCATGTAGTCACCACCTTTTCTTCCTTCTTCCTCCAGTTAGACCTGCATTTCCATATGCTCCATCTAAATATTTTTCACAACACATTTGTTAAAGATACATTGGTCCATGTTTTCACTTTATTTGCAAGGAATCTGGGTCATGGTGGAACTGGAAGAAACTGAAGTGTTTACCACACCAGAAAGATTTGGAGAGAGAGTTGATTAAGGCTCAGCTTCATGAAATATTTACACATCTCTTGCGTGGGCTTTTGTTTGCTCTTGTTGGTGCTGCTGCATATTTTACTTTGATAATGCTTTGAGTGTATTTCTCCCAAATGTGCTTATTTTCCAGTTATAAACTATTCTTTCTTTTCCATTGTGCTCACCATTGGCCTAACCCAAGTAACAATTGTGGGAATAAAGATACATGAGTCACAGCACAAAGGAGAAAATCTTCTCTACTGCTATCCCCAAATGGCCAGAGTTTCCATGAGAGAATGTTCTTTGAAGATTGTTCTTTGTGAAGAATATTTTCTCCAAGTTTGTGTGTGTGTTTAGTGAGGGGATGTACTGTTGATTATAAACAGAAAAAAACCCTAGGAATTACTATCACAAGTGTAGATGTTATATCATTGAAATGTATTTTGGAAACAGGGCACATGAAGTGATGGAGAAAAATGTACAGTGTGCTGTGGTGCAGGGAGGCTCTAGCTAATCACTAACTAGACTGTTGTGAAAATGATTAGGCCCACATCACCAGGGCATCAGCTGCATATAGAGAGTGGAGGAGGAAAGCATATGAATAAAATCAGTCTCAGCTGCAGAGGAGGGGAGATTCCAGCAAGCTATTTTGAAATTTGAGTGTTTTAATTGCCTCAGAAGACTGGCCCAATACACTTAATTATTTGTTCCCGCAACATTTTCATGATTAGCTTCAAATATACTTGAAAGAATATATTTAGCTACAACTAGATCTCACTGCTTGAATTTCCAGTCACAAAATCTGCAGCCTACAGGGAAGCACTAAGATATTGACGGTAGAATCACAAAATCAGAAACTGCTGACCTCAGACAGAGAGGACACAGGATTTTAGTCCCAGCTTCCACTTGAGCTTGTTCAGTGGCAGCTGCTTCTGCCCTGTGTGCATTCATTCATCTACTCAGTTGTCTGTTCATTCATGCATTCAAGATTTATTCTTCTGGAATGAGAGATGGTCCTTGAATGTGTAATAGAAGAATGAACGAGACTCAGTCTCGGCCCACAAAACTAAAGGGGGAAGCTGACAGTGACAGTCAAGTGCCACAGCCAGGTGCTATAGAAGGCTGGCTATGGAGGTGGAGAAAACAAGGCAAGCTTTCCGTGGTCCTGAGGATGCAAGGAGCTCACCTGCTGAGGAGAAGGAGGAATTGCTTTCTTAGTGTAGGAACCAGAACATGGAGAGGCCCTAGGAAATAAGAGTGCATTGGAAACAGAATGCATACATAAGGGTGGAAGGAGAGGGCTAGAGAGGGAAGCAAGATCCACCCCAAGCTAAAGTGCAGAAGGGCTGCTACCTCCTCTGGTCAGTAAGCCATTTCATCTGGAGATGTTAAGTGAATGGGCTCATATTGAGGCTCTTCATGGTTCCAATTACTCAAATTTATATCCTTCACATATCTACAAACCACATTTACTTTCATTTACAATCGCCTGCTTAGAGGAAAGAAAAGTCCTTGAGAAAGTCATAATTCTCTGTGCCCCAATTACTTCATCCATGAAATATTTGTCACCTACTCTGTACATTATGACAGTCAAAGAGAGAGTGAGATGATGAGTCTTATAGAAATGAGTTATAGAGATATAGGGAATCTTATTCCTAAGATAGCAGTGCTCATAGAAAAATGATGGAAAACAGTGTCTATGCCAAGCACTTAATGGTCCCAGGTGACTACAAAAGACAAAGGCATGATGATATGCAAGCCTGAATGAACGGTGTACTCAGAACATGGCCTACAGAGAACCCAAACACCATGTGTAATTTTTAAGTAATTTTTAAATGGGAGAAATAGTTACAGTGTTAAGTGCCATTCTAGAACTGTATTTTCAAGCCACAGGGCCTGACCCATAGTGAATATAATTAGCATTTTTATTTTTGAAAAACATGATAGAGTGGGACAGTATGGAAGTGTAAGTGTTGTTCATAGAACCTTCAAATTACACATTTGTGTGTAGGTACGTCATGGACTGTGACGTAAAGTATGTAGCCAACTACGGCCACTGTTTTCCAAAAAGCAAAAACTACTGCTTTAAGTGACACAGTGAAGAGAAGCTCCCAGTTTGCAGGAAGCTAACAGGTGACTAAGAGATCTGATACACAAGCTTTTGGGCAGCATTCTAAGTAGCAGGATCACCTCACCGACACAGGCAAGGCTTGTGACCTACCAAGTGCGCAGCAGAATAGTCTGAGGGGACGGTCACTGGTGACCAAATTGGTCTGGAAAGGCTTCAGGAAGGAAGTGGAGCTTGAGCAAGTTTATGAAGGATGGCTGCAATGAGCAGGCAGTGAGAAAGGGGCAGTGACAGAAAGGAGGAAGCAGAGAATGAGGAGTAGCACGAGAGATCTGTTTAGGAATCACTCAAAAAAAGAAAAATGAATATCAAGTTAATTGCAGTGAAATTTCTGTTTAGACTGAAATATTACTTGAGTTGCTATTTTTTTAAACTAGTCGTGGTAGTGCATGCCTGTAGTCCTAGCCCTTGGGAAGCTGAGGTAGGAGGCCCTTGAGGTTGAAGAGACTCTGAGCTACATAGAAAGCCCTGTCTCAAAAAAAAAAAAAAAGAGTTGCTGATTTTAAATAAATTTTATCGTATGTACTTACGACATACAACACAATGTTTATTCTCTCTATATTTATATAAACATACATATAGATATATATTATATAGTTACTGTGATCATCTCACATAGTTACCCACTTCTCACCCTTTGATCCTCACCCTATATGCCAAAATCAGCTATAACCTACTCACTTAGCAAAAAATTCTGAATACAATATACTATTATTAGCTGTAGTCTGCATGTTGTACATAGATCTTTAGGTTTGCACATCCACACATCTGCCACTTTATGTTCCTCAACATATATCACCTTATATTCTCTTCTCTGTGACTGCTGTTATATTCTCTATTTCTGTACCTATAAGCTTATTTTTTTAAACTATTATTTGGTATCTAAAATTTCTTTCCTAAAACTGATTACTCTAAGAAAATCTAGCCAGAATGATCATAACATCCTAAATCTATCATTTCCTGACATCTTTTTGTTTCTTTTGCACTCATTTACTGGTTTGGCCTTGATTCATCCAGCTGGTTGAGTTTGATGATTGAATCATTGACATTACAGGATATACCACATTGTAGCATGAGTACTTCATTTCTCAGAACATAACTGCAATTGCTGGCACAGGAGGGCCTAGGGCATTTAGGCAAGTGTCTCCAGTTCAGCCAGCCCTTCTGCTCTCTCCCACCAGCCTCACCTGCGCATCTTTGCAGAAGTCCTGACTCTCAGGAGAGGCACCAACAGCCCTGTGAAGGTGAGTCAGGTCACTTGGCAGCATGAGCCCAATAGGAAAAGCAGGGTCCGCCATATTTTCTTCCATTCAGTTGTTCTATGACTTTCCCATTGTCTTAGATGTTTAGTTTTGTTAGTATAGATTTCTAGAAATTAACATCTTTGTCTTTTGCTGTAGGTAGCCCATTAGTTCTTTTGGAAAACAAGTCAGAGAAGAAAGTCTTTGTGCTTCTGAGAACATTCTTGACTGTCTTCCAGCTATTGCTATCTTTCCTCTGAAAGGAAACAGTATTGTGACATTGGTACCCTTCTGAATAAAGCTATACCTTTGAATAAAGTATACCTTTGAATAAAGCTATAGCTTTAAGCAGCAGAACAGTGCCAGTTAGAATAGACTCATTGGCTTGATTTAGTTAATTTGAAATGCAGTCAAATATGGAAATTTGCTTTTTAAAAAAAATTAAGATGTCTTAGATCCCCCTCTCATCTTGCTTTTGGTGTTTAGATTGGTGATAATCTAATTTTTTGCATAAGAGTCAAGTTTGGAA